CTGTGAAGTGGGAAAGAATAGGAGTTACGGATAATTATTACGTTAAGCGTTCCAACATTCACGTAACAGGATAATTGGTAGGAAAGGATTGAGAAAAGATTACATACGATCAAGAGAGATCCATCATTTAAATACTTTTCAGAAGAGTTTATGACGTACAACAATTGTTGTATTTTTAACTTCCCGCTTAGAAAATCGAAGATTTTCGAAAAATCGGGAAGTTATTGTTTTCACTCCGTCTTGCAAAAATCAAGGTTTCAACATATCTTGACGTTTTGATAGTCCGGTCAAATTAGACTAAAAAATAGGGGTGAGGTTACAAAAATTCCCACTTGGCTGAATATTGGTAGGATTGTTCAATACACTATTATAAAGGAAATTTGAAAAGTCCTCATCGATCCGGCACGTGCAAAAAAATTTACTCGGGGTCAAAGGTCACAAAAACGGGTTCTTCACGATTTTCAGCAAAATGGTAAGCTTTATCATAAAATTAGTTCAGACAAAAATTGTAGATCAGATAATTATCTATAAAAAACGTCAAAATACTTTTTTTCCTAAGAGCCACCGTTTTTGAGATATAACGATTCAAAAAGTTGAAAGAGTTGTAATCGTCATAATATGTATAAGTACACCACTTATATACATTACTAAAGCCGTAATACAAGCAAAAATATCGTTCTATCGGTCAGTGTGACTTACACGTATAAAATATGAAAATTTCGGGTAAAACAAAAACCCAGTCCCTTATTTTCTACGCCAGTGTAACCTCCCTAGCGGATCGGTTTATGCTCAGTATACACCAAGTATACATAGTGTATACGTGTCGAATTCATCCTAAGTATACGCCGCGTATACACCGAAAATTTTTTTAAAGTCCCCGAGTTTGAAATTTTTCTAAGTGTTGAATTGAAAATTTTTTTTAATTTATCGATAACAATGGGCTACAAACTGCCAGAAACTGATAAATTTATTAAAATTAAGGGACCATGTTCTAGTGTATGACATATGCCGGGTTTACATCGTCAAAAAATTTCAAAGTCCCAGGGTTTGAAATTTTTTTTAAGTGTTGAATTATAAAAAATTTTTTTAATTTATAAATAATAATGGGCTACAAACTGCTAGAAACTGATAAATTAATTGAAATCAAGACATCATGTTCCAGTGTCCATGATGTAAGAAAGTAAAAATATAGAAATAAAGATGATCACTTTGTTTACTTAGTAAAATAAGTATTTTTGATTTTGTTCACTCTATAAATAATGACATTAATATAAACATATCATTCACAACAGACTTAATGACTAAATTTATATTATTTGTAGATTAACTTGCACAG